TGACAAATCACGATATTTTGCGATAACCGAGTTCAATAGTTGTTTTATCATTTGATAACCGAGTTTGTTTGTTTGTTTTTAATGAATATCCTCGGGAAGCAAAGCGATCTGCCATTTTCACGCAAGGGCGATCACAAGAAGGAGAAAGAACGGTTTCCTTTACGCATGTGCAGAATATTATTTGAAGCCAAACACAGTTGGACGGCATTGCGCAGGAGCAGATCATTATTTGTAGGCAGTTATTTACAGGTCACGTGGTGGGCTCTTGACCAACGAAAAGAAAGAAAAATTTGCTTCGAATGATTATAATGTTTAGTCAAGGACCTAGGACCACTTACTGTAAACTATACTTGTTTAAGGTTCGAAGGGCTTTATTAATTGAGACAATTCTGTTTCGTAAATTTTATATTGATTGTAATTAACAATTATTCGCCGAAGGCAAAGTTAAGAGGTTATTCAACAATAATAACTGAGCCTGAGGTGAATTTTTTTTTTTATTATAATACACACGAGGTGATCTCAGCAGAATCGGAACCATTAAAAAACGATTAGTTTGATTGACGTGTGAATTCATGCGGAACATGTAGCAGTAAACATCCGATGCGCAAAAGTTAGATCTTTTCAGCATCTTCAAACATGGCAAATCATAGTTTGTAAGCTTTAGCATCAACGGTTTAAGAAACGTCTAAAGTTGAAATTACTATTCTTCTGAGAAGAAACGTGGAGCTTTATTTTCTACCGGCAACTCACCGTGAATAAGAAAGTTTTCTTCTTTGTCGCTTCTTGCAAATGGAGGAGTTCACGCTCATAGTTGCATCATGGGTAATCAGGGCAAGATGGCGGGAAATTAGAAGATTTGTATTAGAATTCAAGCTAACTATTTCATCCTGAATTCATGTATTTGATGCTTTCTCTTTTAAAAGCTTAAGAGAAAAAGAAAAGCTTAAGCTAAAGATTTAAAAAGCTTAAGATTTAAAAAGCTAAAGCTAAAGATTTAACTAGTTATAACCTTAGAGAGAATGAATACTAAGTCGCTGTTCCACAACCCCTTACTGAATTTTATAAAAGAAGTCTTTCTTTCAGCGGAAGTGTGTTATGAAACAGCTTGCCTCTGGAGGTGCGGCAATTGACATCCCCTAATTTATTTAAGGGAAAATTAAGAGTCATAAATTTCGATTGACAAAAAATTTAATTCGCTATATGCTGTTTTTACACACGGACTCCTTGAAAAGCAGGTGGTTCGTTTCATCTTTTTTATTTAATTTTTTATCCTAGATTCTAGATTGGTTAGTAGAAAGTTTCTCTATGCTTGAATGTAAATGTACCTTAAGGAAATACCGTGTATAAATAAAGTTACCATACCATACCATACCATACCATACCATACCATACCATACCATACCATACCAAACCAAAGAGTAACTTGTCTGTATTTCCCATACATTTTCTGTAATACGACAGCATCAAAATTATAGAAAATGTATGGAAAAATTGAGGCTTTCTAAAAACTGATCACGTACTTCTTTGCACTCCAGATCTAGTGTACTGTTTCTTTGAACTTGTAAGTTACTCTTTTCAAAGAGAAAGCATCAAATATGTGAACATGATGAATTCAAGAATAATTAGCTGGCTTTGAATTCTAATACAAATGTTCTGATCTCCTACCATCTTGCCCTGATTACCAATGATGCAACTATGCTAACAGTCAACAGTAGCCACGATCGAGGTGAGCGTTGTTTATCTGCAGTGTTCTTTGCCTTGTTAACTTGCCGGCACGTACAATTTTTGAAAACATTGGCCTTTCTTTTTTCTCCATAAATTAACCTCTATTTATACACAAAATTGGTCTTGCGAGGAAATCCAGAGTTCACAAAACAGTGAAGAAGCAGCCTCGATAATTTTGCTCTGTTGTGTAGGTTAACATTGCTTCAAGCGTATAAAAAGTCAACTACAGTAAATCACTTCACAATAAATCACGCTCTTCAAACACCATGAAGTCTTTTCTTACCTTTAGAATCATCAACACTAAGATATTCTTGTATTTTCAAAAAGGTCTAACTCTGAAACTTTGCAAAATGTTCAGTTTACGACAGCGATTTTGCTGTTTTCACCGCCTAGAGCAGTGAATATTTAACAATTATTCTTTGAAATCGAGGTGAATAGTGGCTGAATAAATATACGGAACCACGAAGCGGCGAGATAAATATTCCTAAAACCACTATTAACCGAGATTGAAAAGAATAATTGTTTTAGCATATACACTCGAAGTGATCTCAACAAAATCAGAGAGAAAACCATTAAAAAGTACGATTTGATTGACGTATCAAATCACGCGAAAGTTTAAAAATAGTCTTTGCAGAATTTTCAACCATGGCAATTCACAAGTTTATCACTTCGCAAACAACAGCGTAATGGCTTAAATGAAACCGTTAAAAGTTTGAATTGTTTCCTTACCTGAGAAGAAAAGTTGAGGTTTGTTGTTTTCTGTTGACTCGTCACGTTTATAGTTCTTCGTTCTTCGCACGAGGTTGCTGACAAAACTAGCGGCTCGGTTCCTCGAGGTAAGACGTCGTCTTCCTGTAGCATTATTTTTCATATTTACTTGAAACGAAGAAATTCTGCAAACATTTGCCTTCAAATTTGTTTTTCATAAATAAACTTCGATTTTTGGGCCAAATTTTTCTGGTTAGGAAACGCTGAGTTCACGAGAAGAACTCCTCTACGCGAATAAACAGGAGTTGTAAACAATCCATCGAGCACAAAACTCAGCTATTGTGAATAGAAAAACGCCGTTTTGAAGTCCTTCGAAGTCTTTTCTTGTCTTAAAAAAATGTCAACCGTAGGATTTTGTCGAGTTTTAAAAGACTATTCTCTAAAAAAGTTGGAAGAAACACCGAGCTCACACATCATCCACTCGCAAGGAGTTGAGTATTGTTGAATAGTCCGAGATAGCGAACCAATCAGATTGCTTAAATGACCAAGATCACTGAGTGTGTATATACTAAAACGTCTTTGTAAAATCCAGCTAGTGGTCTATTATCAATGCTGCGCTCTAATTGGTTGAGGTACCACTAGGCTATGTAGGGATGTTATAATCCACTAGTAGCGAAAAGATGCCGACTTTGAAAACCAAAACAATGGCGGCTAAATCGTGTTTTGCTACCTAAAGTTGTTTTGTCTCGATATTGTTGACCAACTAGTTGGATTTTACTAAAACAATTATTCCTCTCGCCCTCATGACCGCTGAGTCCCCCAATCGGGCTCAAGGAATAATTGTTAAATAGTCCGAAATAGCGAACCAATCAGATTCCTTGAATCACCAAGAACACTAAGTGTGTATATACTAATAATAAATATTTGGTCGAGTTATCAGCCATTTTTTATAGAGCTCGCGTTAGGAACTTTAATTGATTTTCTCAATCCCTTCGCCATCCAAGCCTTGTTGGACTTATTTTTTATATTAATCGATTAAATCGGTGCATGTGTGGAAAACAGTCTTATCAAACTTTTTAAATTCTCTAAAATCAATTTTATTGGGAAAGGGCTTAGCGTAGGATCATACTAAAGAGCCAAAGACTGGCAGATGATGAGTTATTTCTAATGCAATGCTACCACTAGTACTTGATGACACAAAGTTAGAAAGAATGTGTTCTATACAACTTGTTCTCGATTCAGTTATGAGAGTTGCTACGAAAATCAAAGGATTAAAACCTTCTGAATGAATCAAGTCAAGGCATTCTATTGTGCTCTTAACGAGTGTATTGATATTGAAAAGACACAAAAAGGACAAAAAGGTGGAAGGTAGAAGTTTTTTAAATTCATCAATAAAATCGCGTTGGGACCTACTGGGAGGGATATGAATCACGCATACAAGCATGTCTTCTGTGTCCGGACAGATATTTTTAACACCAGCTATTTTAAAATCATTCCTTAAGTAATATTCAAAATTGGACTTTAAATATAAAGCAACTCCGCCACCTGTAGAAAACGTGCGATGGTCAGTTTTGATATTGTAACCTAAGATTGTTAAGCTGCTTATGCCAACTTGAGGGGTGATCCAAGTTTCAGAAGAAGCAATGAAATCTAACTGGAAGGGAAAGGACTACAATAAAAAAGATGACATAGCCAGTCTAAATGCTTGCTTAGCTGTCGTTGCAGGTGTTAAATTGACTGGATATTTTATCTAACGATTAACTTTAGCTGTCAAGTTTGAAATGCCTTGAATAATTTGCTTTTGTCCTTTGCTCAGCTTTGCCAGCAACTCAGTCGTACAAATGTTTCAAAGGCTTCTTCTGGAACTTCTGTCTGTTGTTTCCCTAGCTCTCTTAGTTTCGGGAAATTTTTAACAGAAACTTAAAATTAGTTCCTCTTCAATACAGGCGTTTCGGTGAAAATCACATCTTTATCACTGTCATACCATTGACAAGACAAGCCTCCAAGTTTCTCTTCATTGTTTACTTAGTGACTCTGAAAACCCTGAAAAAATTATGTCTTTTACCTCTTTTGTCTACCATTGTTGTTCAGTTTTTTTAACCTTTTAGTGCTACATAGGAAACAACACTTTTTCTTCAATGATGGTGATGATGATGATAACGATGATGAAAATTTTAGGAAATAGAGAATGATGTAACAACTAGAAAAATAAGATATTTATTATAACTTCAACCCAAAACTAACAGAAGTGATTACTCTCGCGATGGGGCACCAACAAATACAGTCAAAACAACTCCTTTTTTTTCTAATATGCTTTTTATTATGCACAATTTGTGCAAGCTATTTTTTCCAAGATGAATTAATTGTAGTTTTTAGTACTCTTTATATTATTGGCTTCTTAAAGAGAGTGTAACATTTTTTTAGGACAACTTTTATACATAATATTATTTTAAATATCGGATTATGGAGGTATCAAAATAAGGCAGAAATAAATAGCAAATAGATTTCCTTACAGTGTTTACAACCACATAAAAATATGTATTGTTAATCTGTACATTTGTACGTAATCACTTGTAACAATCGTACCGAATTGCTTTCGTTTGACCATTTGAAAATGTAACAATCATATACTTTGGTTTACAACCAGCTTTACAAAAAGCAATTCGAAATACCCTGTTATATATGATATGGTATTCGTATCGTTTAATACACCCATTGCTAGCATCACGAGGCTTTCGTGTGCCATGACCATTATCAGTAGTTTTCCTGTTGTTTTCATTATCTGTCGATACAATTGTTTCAGCTTTTACATCATCTCCTAAAACAGCTGCGTTTTCAGTCTGAGGACTTCCCTCCTGTACCTTCGAGCCTGGATTTTCCAGAAGTTCAAAATGGCCACTGTCATCTCCAGACCATCGAGGAGGGACGACTGAGTATTTCGGTTTCTCTTGCTCCGGGTTTCCTATGAAATCTGCCAAGTCTGCCTTGTTTTTTTCTGACGTGTTCGCGTCTATGGCAGGCTTGGCGTAACTTGAACCAAGAGATGTTAAGAACATGGACGTAACCAACAAGACAGAAAGGATATTGGCAGATAGCTATCGAGAAAGCAGAGATAAGTCATTTTAAGTAGCGTTGTGTTACCGATTGGGGCCGATTGGCAATCACGTCTAAGTATTCGCTTATTGCTTCAATTTTTATACTGCGGAGATCACGCGAATGTGAGTTTTGGCGTACGTATCCGACAACCTCTTCAGGGCATATCTGTTTGTTTTCTTTTTGAAAAAAAAGAAATATCATGCTATAAATTCAACAAAAATAAATAAATACATAGATAAATAATAACAACAACCACAACCACCACCACAACAACAACAACAATAATAATAATAATAATAATAATAATAACACTTACCAAAGGTTATTAACAAGTGCTTTTGTGTAAAAAAATCTTTTATCATGACAATGATTTGTTTTTGAATCTTTTAGCAAGAGCCATAATATTTCCATTAACAAGATTATGCTGAAATCCTAATTCTTAAAAAACGACAAAATTACGGAAAACTACGGCACGGTAGAATGAAAAGCTAGCTGATTGAGGAACTTCCTCCATGGCTTCTTAGAAGAATTTGTTTCACAGCTAGAAATAGTGGTATCGGCCGATTGTGAAAAAGGTTAACGATCATTCCATCAGTTTTCGTTTGTCATTTAAAGCGTAACATGATTTACGTCAAATGGTAACCTGATAACTTATAATTAATTGTAACTGGACTCAATCTGGGGCTGAAAGTGTTAACCGCAACTAATCAATCATTATTAGCAAATTAGTAAAGCGTAAAGTGATATACTTTGGTAACCCGATAACCAGATAACTCACAATTTCTTGTAAATATACACAAGAGGTACTAAGGATATGTGTACAAAAGTTCAGTGTTACCTTCCAGATTTGAAAATTCATTTTGATCGCTTCCACTGTAATCAAAATCACTTTTTCTTGTTTCTTTTTTTCTTTCAATAAGTTAGAAGAAAAATGACTTAAATTGTTAAGCTGCAGAATGCAGCGTCTTTTATACCCTCATATCGAGTTACATTTAATTAGTGTACTATTTCATGAAGGTAAATTTAGAAAAGCGTATCAGTTTTCCGTTCAGTTTTGTTTTCGCCGTGATTCAAAACTCCAAGTTATTTCCGGATTCTATTCCTACCTGTTGCAACAGTTTTACAAGAAGACATTACAGTCACGGACTGCAACGAAGTCCGACGTAGCGCAAATATTTGTATGACATCTTGTTCACTCGTGCGTCATCAATTACTGTTTTAGAAACTGTTATAGACCGGGAAAGTAGTATATTCTTAAGACGCCGGTTTTCCAGAAACGTTTTCTGTTACAAAAATAATTCTTCCTATTCTTCCCATGCGGTTTCCTCTTTTTAATTAGATTGAAAACGAAAATAAAACAAAGAAACAATACAACAAAACTCTTAAGAAATGCAAACACTTAATTCTTTGTCTGTGCGTTTTATAGTTCCACCGAGGTTTCAGACTTATGGGAAAAAATTACACTGGCAATAACTGGAAATATTCTTTCCCTCCTGAATTTTTTTCTCTTCTTTTAATGAACTCATTACATTACGGATAGGCCACAGCACTGAGAGATATGCAATGGACTGCTTACTTGTCTTTCGAAAGCTATCCAGCGATCATCATTTATAAAGAATTTTATTTTTTTGTCCAGTAAAATATTGGATGGAATAATCGTTTGCTCGAGTATTCCTTCAAAAAAACTAATGGAACAAACTACCCTTCTCCTCAACATATGAAAGCAGCTTTTCCATAAATTTTAACATGTACAAAAGAAAGTTGCTCTTATTTTCTACGTTACAGAAACAGATATTCTTGAGTACTTTTGTATATTAAATACGCCTTGGCTATCCAAAGTCGATTTAATTTTCGGTGTATTCCCGTTGAAACGAAAATATCTCGCGAACTTCAAGAATCAGCTTGTTAGGGTATTGGATGTCAAGTTAACGTAATTCCTTGCCTCGCAGACATTAGATTGTCATCCTGTCCTACGAAAATAGTTTAAGTGTTCCTGTTTACATAGTAACATCATCTCCTGATGTACATCTTCCTGTTTGTCTATGCAATTTAATCGACTCGTTGTTGATCAGGCTGAAAAGGAATCGACCAAACAACGGGTTAAAGTATTCACTTTACTACAGGTATAATACCATCATCTGCACTTAGAGCCGGGTAATATAAAGCTTTAGCTCGTCGTTGCTTAACGCTTTATAACACCTGTGGTTAACTTATTATTCTTTGATGATTTCTTTTTTAATTACTCTAAATGTTTGCAGTGAATCTCTTAGAGAAAGTTAAACTGCACCAAAAGACCTAAAGGTCTATAAGAAAATTCAGTTTGTTCCTAAGTATTTAAAAAGCCTGTTGAAAACGAACGTACAAGGTATTTATGTCTTTAAGATGCATGTCATTTTAAAGATAGATATTTATACAACTAATTTCGAAACTAATTGCCATTACTGAGATCAGACTCAGTCACTAAATGTTTTGATTCATTCGTAGCTGTTTAAATGAGAGCTAAAAAGTCGTGAAATCAGGTACTGTTACGGTGATTTACGTATTCAGATATACATGCAGGTTCAGAGCTTAGAATTTTGGCGTTAGAATCAGTAAAATTGAGCTGACGCTGTTCCGAGCTAAAATGATCAGTGGGTAAGGAAAGCATCAACGGTCAAGCATTTACCTCTGTCATCGGTCAAATTTTTCGCCTCATCGGGGTAAGTCGTTTCGACTCGTAGATAATGACGTTAAACCTTTCTTTCACACCTTTTTGACATATAATATTACTACAAATCTTATTTTCCACTCAAGTTAAAATAAAGCTATTCAGCACATATTTTCGATCCCTTTGAGAATCTTACACTGTTGCTTACGCGGAGACAACGCTCAATACGCGTGACCATTATGTATTGTAAGGTTCAATATAATTTTCTTCGGTATGGTAATAATAAGATTTATTTTCAAAGACAACAGAATTTTAATAAGGGGGAAAATTGGAACAAAAAGACAGGGGAGTAGTGGAAACAGAGGAATCAATGCAGTGGTAGATCCAGGGGATAAGCCTGGGGGACCCCAGGCCCCCCCCTCATTTTTGGACCAAAATGAGGCCCAAAGGGACGATAAAAAATTTCTTTTAGAGCCCCACCCCTAATCTCAGGGTCTGAATGACTGGGCGCCCCTTGTCTGAAGGTCTGGATGCGCTACTGCTATTTGATAATTGGCCTGTAAATTACTGTTAGTAATGTTCTTTCACGGTGATGCTGACATGGGAAACCAGAATACCGTGTCGCAGCCCAAATGCACGACCAGACCTGCTTTCCTGAATTTGCTTTCTGATAATTTCACAAATTGTAATGAATTTTAAGATGTTTGATTTTATTGTTTGTTTGTTAATAATTTATATGCAAAAATTCCACGTCAATTAATCACAAACAAAGACTTTCTCAAAAGCCCGTTTCCGGCTTTGATAGGCAGAGAAGGTAGATTATTAAGCTTTTACCTTGAGCCGATTAACATAGACTTAGTTTTAGTCATATTTAGGGTTAATTTGTTTGCGGGAAGCCAGCGATTCATGTTGAGCAAGTCCTCGTTCAGGGAACACTGAATGGAGTGGATATCACCATTCCAATAAGGGTATCATCAGCATGCATTCTTGCCTCAGAGTGAGACAGACAATTGGGCAAATCATTGATATATAGCAAAAACAGACGTAAAGGCCCTAATATTGTTCCCCCGGAGATACCACACTTGAGGGTGCAACATTCTGAAAGAGAACCAGTGACAACGAATTTCTGAGTACGATTATCTAAATAGGAGGAGAACCATTTATGGGAAACACCTTTTATACCATAAAGATGTAATTTAAATAATATAATGTGGTGGTCGACTGTGTCAAACGCTTTCTTAAGGTCCAGAAGAACAACAGCGATAACATTACCTTTATCAATATTATAGGCCCAACTATCAGTTACCTCCAATGAGGCTGTAACTGTTGAATGAAGCGCGCGGAACCCTAAAGAGTTGATTGTAGATATTTCTGTCAAATACTTTGCCAATTTTAGAGATGTCTGAAATTGGACGATAATTGCCTATATCGCTTCTTTCGCCATGCTTAAATAGAGGAGAAACCATCGCGGACTTCCAATCGTCAGGAAATATACCATTAGCTATGGAACTATTAAATATAATTGAAATATAAGGTACAATCAAATCAGCGCAATCAAGGATAAGCCGACTGGATATTCCATCGAGACCAGCTCCTTTTAAAAAGAGACAAAACCTGATTGCTATCAGTGGAGACGAACTGGAATCGTTCGCTAAGGCCAAAGACATATTCCTGAAAACTAGAACCATTGTTGAAAG